AATGATGAATGTGAGTACCTAGAAGCGAATTTTAGGCATGCATCCCCTAAAAAATAAGGGATGAAAATTTGTACAAAAATTTGTTAAAATCGGTTGTAGAAGTATGAATTTTGCAGACGTTCCTTATATAACGTAATTTAGCACTAAGAAGCAATTTTTGGAAATTCGCCCTCTAAGGGTGTGAAATGAAGGGTTGAACGTTCTGGAACAATAAATTCTGTTCAAGGAATATGATGATGATTATATATGATGATTTGCACAGAGGTTTATTATGTAGCGTAATTGAATAATTAGAGCGATTTTTGGAATTTATTCCTTAAGGGGGTAAAACTAAGGGTAAAAATTTGTATAATTTTTATGTAAAATCCGTTCTAGGACTAGGAGTATGCAATTTTGTACAGAGGTCCCTTAAGTGATGAAAGTGTGTACCCAGAAGAAAATTTTGGACATGCACCCCCTAAAAAATAAGCACTCCCTATAAAACAATTAAAATAAAAAATTTGTCTAAAAAATAAAAAAAAAGTTGGGGTGGGCCACTCTTATCATTTAGGGGTATAAAAAATAGATAACAACCTAGGAATAGGTTGTGACCAAACCAAACCAAACCAGACCTACTGAATATACATATAAATTTTATCAAAATCGGTTTAGCCGTTTCGGAGATGGTAACAAAAAATTTAAAAAAAACAACCTCTATTAAAATATAGGGGATGATGGTGGAACGGTGAAAATTTAGGGTTATTTGTATTTATTAATGCCAACTAAAAAAATAAAAATATTTTTTCTTTTCAAAAAATAAAAAATGAGGGTGGGCTACCCTTACCACATAAGGGTATAAAAAATAGATAACAACCTATTCTTAGACGTACTGAATAATATAAAATTTTATCAAAATCGGTAAAAAGCCGTTTCACGGATGGTAACAAAAAATTAAAACAACCCCTATTAAAAAATAGGGGGATGATGGTAGAACGGTGAAAATTTTGGGTTCTTTGTATTTTTTAATGCAAAATAAAAAAATAAAAATATATATTTTTTCAGAATATAACAAAATGGGAATGGGCTACCCTTATCACTTAAGGGTATAAAAAATAGATAACAAACTATTTTCAGACCTACTCAATATACATAATAAAATTTCATCAAAATCGGCAAAACCGTTTCGGAAATGGTAACAAGAAACTTTAAAAAACAACCCCTATTAAAAAAATAGGGGATGATGGTAGAACGGTGAAAATTTAGAGTTGTTTGTATTTTTAAGGCCAAATAAAAAATATATTTTTTTCAAAAATAAAAAAATGAGGGTGGGCTACCCTCTCGGCTACCCTTATCACTTAAGGGTATAAGAATAGATAACAACCTATTCTTAGACAATACATACATATAAAATTTTATCAAAATCGGTCAATCGGAGATGATAACAAAAACTTAAAACAACCCCTATTAAAAAAATAGGGGATGATGGTAGAACGGTGAAAATTTAGGGTTGTTTGTATTTTTAATGACAAATAAAAAAAAATTAAAATATTTTTTTTTTCAAAATAAAAAAAAAATGGGGTGGGCTACCCTTATCACTTAAGGGTATAAAAAACAGATAACAACGTATTCTCAGACCTACTGAATATACATATAAAATTTCATCAAAATCGATCAAGCCGTTTCGAGATGGTAACAAAAATTAAAACATCCCCTATTAAAAATAGGGGGGATGATGGTAGAACGGTGAAAACTTAGGGTTGTTTGTATTTTTAATGCCAAATAAAAATAATAAAAATATTTTTTTAAAATAAAAAAAATGGGGGTGGGCTACCCTTATCACTTAAGGGTATAAAAATATATAACAACCTGTTTTCAGACCTACTCAATATACTTATAAAATTTCATCAAAATCGGCTAAGCCGTTTCGGAGATGGCAACAAAACAACCCCTATTAAAAATAGGGGATGATAGCAGAACGGTGAAAATTTAGGGTTGTTTGTATTTTTAATGCCAAATAAAAAAATTAAAAACATTTTTTTCTTTTTCAAAACTAAAAAAAATGAGGGTGGGTTACCCTCTCGGCTACCCTTATCAGTTAAGGGTATAAAAATAGATAACAACATATTCTTAGACGTACTGAATATACATATATAAAATTTATCAAAATCGGTTAAGCTGTTTCGGAGATGGTAACAAAAATTAAAAACAACCCCTATTAAAAATAGGGGGATGAAAGTAGAACGGTGAAAATTTAGTGTTGTTTGTATATTTTTAATGCCAAATAAAAAAAAATTAAAATATTGTTTTTTCACAAAATAAAAATGGGGTGGACTACCCTTATCATTTAAGGGTATAAAAGTATATAACTACCTATCTCAGACCTACTGAATATACATATAAAATTTCATCAAAATCGGTTAAGCTGTTTCGAGGAGTACGGTAAACAAAACTGTAACACGGGAATTATATAAGATAATATTATATGTAAACTGGCGGAGTGCGGAGAACGGAAAGACTGATTATAGCAATAGATAAAATTTAAAACTATAATTTAAAACTATTCAAGAAAGTACACACAAAACAAGGCAACGCCGCGCGTCTATTCGTTCAATTCCGAGCAAAATAGCGAGGCTCCACGAAGTTGGGGCCTCGCTCGCCAAAGCGAGGCCCCATCGACAGGTCAGATTTTGATGCCAGACGAGACTTCTAGGGTATTAAGATATTCTTTGACATAACTAAAAACGTTAGACGATCAAATCTATTTTTCCAAGGCTCCTTGATTAAGAATTGGTGTTGTTAACATAGTCACTCTAGATTGAATTTTAAAATACGATTTTTTATTAAGCAAGAATGTCAAAAGTTGACATATGATATGTCATTCTATTCAGAATGGTCGCGTTCATCAGGACAAGTTGATCAGTGAGCGATGTACCATCGATTGGTTGTCCTGCTGAACGTGCTTTTTAGATCAAAATCATAAGTAATGCATATTAAATTGTTTTCACCCATTTTTGGCACAAATCGAGGGGATTAGTCAACCGAGAACAATAAACAAAATGCTTTGTTTTCGTTTTCCAAAACATTTTGTGACATTTGGCGTATGAGACGTTTAATCCATCATGCATTGGTAGCGTAGCGTATTGTCTGATGGAAAAAATGGCGACTGATCCCAGAGCGCTCACAACTAATCGGCGCGTTCAGCAGAAAATTAGTGTTCGTTGCGGTAGCGCTACGTCCTGATGAACGCGACCAATGTCATTTTCTATCGAATAAAGTAAAACGCGCACCCGGTATTTTAGGGATATGGAGACGCACAAAGTGTTATTATATAAAATTAAACTCTCTAATAATAAAAAATATTAATAAAAAAAATAGCGACAAAATTTTGGAAAAAGCCAAACTGCTCCAAAATAATTAAAAGCTTTAGATGGCGTCCGCTAAAGAACAGCGCCAAATAGAACTTACATTGTCCTGCATGCATATGTTCATTGTTGACAATTTAAAAATATCTACGGTAAGCATTTATACATTCCGTACATGTATACGACACCTAGCACAAACCCATTGGTCAGATTTGAATTTTAAACCAATTAAACTCCGAGTGCCATACGCGAGAATGGAATGTAAGACAGTGCTATGCGCACTTACGGAATGTACCTGGTAAAATTATGCTTGCAGCAGAAAATAACGCCTGGCTATAGCTAATCTTGCAAGAGTAGCTGTGGCTCCGTGACTGAGGCCATGGCTTCGTGAACAGAGGTCCGTGGTTCAAATCTCACGCCGGACCATAACTTTTTAATTTTTTTTTATGTGACTGTAAACTGTTTTTATGTTTTAAAAAAAGCTGTAAATATTTAATAGCAATCAAAATACGGATTGCGTTGTGGTTTCACTCTTTTTGGTGGGGTTAGATTGATTATTTAGTGGAGTTAATTGCGTTGGTTATTTGGTGGGGTTGATGCGTTGGTTGTTAGCTATTTGGTGGGGTTGGTTTGGTTTTGGTTGGAATGCTCTATAACAAAGCGTTAATAGTAATGTCTAAAGTACATTCCGTAAGTGCATAATGGCACTGTCTTACATTCCATACTCGCGTATGGCACTCGGAGTTTAATTGGTTTAAAATTCAAATCTGACCAATGGGATTACTAGGTGCCGTATACATGTACAGAATGTATAAATGCCTACGGTAAGGTGACCTGACGCTGCCGGTACGTTATAGTGAGAATTGCGCATAAAGATGCGTACAGATATGACGAGACGGCGCGCGATACATTCCAAATTTGCTATAGACGGGTCTCGCGAGCCAACCTACGAAGTTTCGTTGCTATACCTCTTCTGTCAGTTTTTCGACGGCCGATTAAAGAGAGCTTTCGGCATAGTATGGACGGGCGCGTAACAGACGCGCGAGTGCATGCTCTACATAGCTGTTGCTTGGCTCGTGGCAGGCTTATCTCGAAAAATGGATCGAAGCAGTCCTGCGCTCGTCGCTCTCGTCAAAGGCACGGTCAGTACGCAGCTTTAGAAATAGGTGCTAGCGACTACAATTAAAAAAAGTACCGAAAGTGGAGTAATGCATTCCAGAACAAATTAGAGGAAAAACTTATATTTTTATACATAAATAATACCAAAATCATTAAGTCAAAGATAAATTGTTTACTAGACTGTTCGGAAGAACATTTTTCCATATCACCGGCAACGCCGATGCAGAAAAGATGGTTAAGTTTGTTTCGCCGTATATACGCACGGTACTGTCGTGACAACTAACTGCAGACTGTAGCATGCTAACTGACAGGGTACGCTCGGCAGCCGATTCAGTTGTAGCCATAGACTAATGTTATGTCATGTAGACCGTCACGTCGGCGGAACACCTTCTGGTTTATACAACAGAAGTGTCATTAGGAAGGCGCCGATTCAGCAAAATCAGGTTTGTTTGTTTCTAGCCTTACTTTTAACCTGCAGTCATTAAATATAAGCCTGCTGGTTCTCATTTCAAAGATTTTTGGATATTTTAAAAGCCAAAATTATTTTTTCACATCTATTTATATTAAAATTACAAAGCTATTAGAAAAAATGTGTCAGCAAAAACAAAATCAAAAATGGTTATTAGTATGTATTATATAAACGATTCTTTTTTATTCTTTCCTGAATAAGTTCATGAAATGAATTTATCCTTTAAGACTACTCATGCCAGCCCTCATAACTTCATCCACAAGTAAAAGGTTGCTGGCAATAACTGAGCAGGAGTTAATAATTTGTTTCTTTACTATATAATTATCAAAAATGCCTGCATCTTTTGGATTAATTGGCTCTCCTGATACCAGATCAAGTCCAATTGGTTCGGGATTAATCCTAGATTCTTCTTGTAGTTTAACAATAGTTTCCTGAAAAAGTATGAAGAGTATTAGTTTTTATTAATACATTGTTTTATCTATTTAATATATAGTCATAAATATAAATAGCATTTGAAGTTACAAAATTCAACATAGGAATGAATTATTGAACTTGGTTGTCAACTATTGAGTTACCTGAACATCAAAACCAGAATTTGTTGCCAATACTTTTGGAATAATTAGCAGTGCTTCAGCATAAGCAATGACTCCCAATCGCGATTTACCCTTAATAGTATCTTTCCATTGCATAAGTTCCTTATTAGCCATTACTTCAAACGCACCAGCACCTAATTTCATTGAAAAAATTAAAATTAATTTTATTTTATGAAAAAAAAATCGCCACAAATTGGAAAATCTTCTACTGTTGAATTATTGCAAAGTTTACGCAAAATTTCTAGACTAATAACAAAAATCCTAGCATATCAAAATGATTATTTTTATTGGGCGTGCTGAAGAAATTCCTCATATACTATTTTTTGTTAACTCAGAAATAAAAAATACCATTTGTTGCAGCAGTTTTGTCTCACTCTGTATAAATATTACCTGGAATAACTGCTTTATCCTCAAGAGCATTGTTAATAGCACGAAGGCCATCCCTAATGGAATCCTTAATTTGATCTAACGAATGTTTATTTGGGCCTTTCATTAAAATAGTTACTGATTGAGGGTTCTAAAAATATATAATCTGTAAAATTGTACATGATAAACTTAACTGCTTTATACCTTGCAGTCCTCTACAAAGGTATATTTATTTTCACCAAGTACGTGTTCATAAACTACACCAGCATATCCAAGAACAGACTCCGAAAGATCGTCAAAGGAATTCATTGCAACACCACCACAGGCTAATGCTAACCGTTCCATATTACGACGTTTAGCTCTTCTTAATGCAATAATTCCTAGTGGAAATAATAAAATATAGATAAAAATAATTTAAAAATCGATATGTTTGAAATTGAAGCGTACCTTCTTTAGCCAACTGATCCAAACTCATTGGGTCAATACCTTTTTGATTTATAACTACAAAAGATTTATTGTTCCCAGCACATACTTTTTTCTTTAACTCAATAATTTTCTTCACTCTTTGATCTATAAATTCTCTTTCAGCTGCTACCTAAAAGTAAACAGAAATTTAGAGTTGGCGCATTTTAAGTTTAAGGAGCCAGTAATGTCATCAGTGATGCAACTGCATATCGACCGCCCCTTGGTTGCGATTCGACGGCTTGGTGACACATAAGAGTGATGACGCTCCGGGATCCTTAAATTACATCCACTCTACCTACTAGTGGACTTAAAAAGTTCATATCAATACAATGTTAGCAGCATACAAAGAAGCAGAAAGTAGTATTATATAAACTAAAATACTTTACTTGTAAGTAAAAAAAGTACCAAAAGAATATACCAATCTGTTCATTGAAACTGTATGGTCTGGATTTTAACATGTAAGACAGTGATGTCAACAGCTTAATGGAAAATCAACAGTGGGATTCTGTAAGCTCCTTAGCAAGAAATTTCCTATCTAGCCTAGGCTATTTATATACGATTGATAAGTCACTTGACAGGAAATATGTTTACAGAATCGCTAGCCAAATGTATTAAAAAAAAAGATAAAAGTTGGGTTGATATATTTCTTCTATGGGGTGTTGCCAGATTTTGCATCAAAATTTTAAACCGCACAAGTAGGTGTTTCTGAAAAATGTTGCATCTAGGGTTGGAACTTTTTTTTTACAATTAGTTACTCATTTTACTATAGCTGTAATACATTATATTTAGCTTAGATATATTATCTTCATTTCAGTAGTATACGTGAAAGTTCTTAAAATAATTAATTTTTTTCTACACATTTTCCTACAAATGCAAAAACAGGCCAACACTGTATTCCGTTTTTTATTTTGTCCCTGTCTGTCAACCGGTCATTTATATTTATCTCTGTCGCATGCATTAAAATACAGCAGGGTTGGCAAATATGATATTTATATAAATATCAAATATCGGATATACAGGGTGTTTCAAAACAAATGCGAAAAACTTCAGGGGGTGATTCCTTGTTCAAAATAAAGGGTAGTTTGCTTCAGAAACGTTGGGTCAAAAGTCAACCATTAGGGAGATATCGCGGTACAAAGATGGCGGAAAAATAATGTTCTTATTTTTTATCTTGAAAACGAAAAGAGATAGACTAATGAAATTTTATGAAAGCATTACTGTTATGAAAACACACTTTCTGGTAATTTTTTCACTTTTTTAAAATGAGTGGAAGGGGTTGAAATAAACTACCCCTATCATCCTTGTTAACGAAATTTAAAGAAAAATCTTATCAAACACATGCAAAAAAATTAATTTGGATAGTTTAGTTTGTTTAGAAACTTTTTTATCTCTTGAATTTTTTTTATAAAACTCACCGATTTGAAATTAAAAAATAAAATGTAAAGCATTACATGTCGACTAAAAATATTTTTAGATTAAGAATCTAGTGATAATAATGATAATAATAATAATCTAGATAATAACGTATTGCAGTAGGGTAATGTCAAATAAAACAATATTAGAAACATCCTAAAAAGTGACAGCGGCCGACTAGATTTTTCCTAAAAAATTACAGCTGCCCACTAGATTCTTTAGCTAAAAATGTTTTTTGTCCTGACATGTAATGCTTTACATTTTATTTTTAATTTCAAATCGGTGAGTTTTATCAAAAAACACAAGAGATATAAAAGTTTCTAAATAAACTAAACTATCAAAATTATTTTTTTTTGCATGTGTTTGATAAGATTTTTCTTTAAATTTCATTAACAAGAATGATAGGGGTAGTTTATTTCAACCCCTTCCACTCATTTTAAAAAAGTGAAAAAATTACCAGAAAGCGTGTTTTCATAACAGTAATGCTTCCGTAAAATTTCATTAGTCTATCTCTTTTCGTTTTCAAGATAAAAAATAAAAACATTATTTTTCCGCCATCTTTGTACCGCGATATCTCCCTAATGGTTGACTTTTGACCCAACGTTTATAAAGCAAACTACCCTTTATTTTGAACAAGGAATCACCCCCTGAAGTTTTTCGCATTTGTTTTGAAACACCCTGTATATCCGATATATATCTGATATATATCCGATATATATCAAGTTTTGATATTTATTTTTGTTTTTATTTTTTATGTAAAACTGTGTTTAGTATCAAGTAAAATCAGGAGCTCAAGCAAATATTTTTATTTCAACTTAATTATTGTTGCTTTGCACATAATAGGAACAACATTAAAACAAAAATATATAAAAAATATACAGAAATTCTAAAAAAATAAACGGAACTTCTAAAAATAAACAGGAATTCTAAAAAATAAACAGAAATTCTAAAAAATAAAAAAATTGACCTAGATCCAATCAATATTATCTTTTTTTGTTTTTTTCTTTCTTGAGTGATTGTTGAGTTTTATTTTTTTATAAATATCATGATATATATCAAGGTATAAATATCATGCTATATATCAAGGTATAAATATCATGATATATATCATGCCAACCCTGAAATACAGACCATGCAGATGAAATGACTTGAGTTAGTATAAGATGTTTAAGTATCTTCTGTTGCAATTTTAGTTTTTAAGCTAGTTTTAGTAAGGAATTATATGGTATTCGGTATTATATAACTCATATTTACAACTGAGTGCCCTAAAGAATTCTAGATTAAGACCTGTGAAAACTTCTAGATCTCATAACATTCCTATTTATATCAGTAAAGATTGTGCAACTTTATTTGCCTCAGAATTTAGTATTTTTTCAGCCTGGTAGATCGTTTTTAAAACATATCTTGTCAAAAAAAGAAACAATAAATAGCAAATACACAACCACAGATTAATTTCTAAAAATTAAACTATCAAAAATTACAACTGTGATAGATAAATGTGATTTTGTTGATTCAATAGTCTCATCAGGTTTTACCCGCCTACTGTTGATTTTTTGTAATAATAATAATAAAAAAAATGGCCAAAAATTATTGTTTTACTGATTTAAAACAATTTTACTCCTTCTACTGAAGAATTATTAAAAAAAAAAACAGTATTCTACAATTCAGGCTCTATAATTGCAAATATTTCAAAAATTTCTAGATAAACTTGAAGTAAACATTAATAAATGCAAAACCTACCTATGATTTGATTTAATAATCATATATCAATGGATATAAGTTAGTGGGTTACTTACCATCTTGTCTCTTTCTTCTGCTGTTTTATAAAAAAATCCAGAGTTAACTTCACTTTTTTCATATTCCAAGCTCACATTACAGGTTAAAATGTAACAATTTTCCAAACGTTTTGGCATATCAGGATGACGAGAACCATGGTCTAATACTAAACCTTCAATAACAAATTACAAACTTATTAATAAATATTATAACTAGATGGAAATTATATAATTTCTTAATTATCTCAATATATATTGAGATAAAACTTAAGGAAAGTATTTTAAGATATAATAGTTTAAAAAAAATCACCACAAAATTAAGTATTAAATTTGAAAAAATGTTGCTTCTTTCCATTATACTGTAAAATGTAAAACCCACCTTTTACAAGAGTTGTATCAGTTTCAGTTTTATGTTGCATTTGCATAAGTTCAATCATGTGTAAGTCAACAGGTTTATCTTGCGATTTCAAAGCCAAAACAGCTTCAACACAAACGTCAGTTAGAACATCTGCTAATTTCTGATGAACCTACATAAAATATATTTATTAACTTGAACTAAATCAAGTATAATACTGACTTACTTTAGTCCTAAGACTTGTACGGCAAACATCTGTTAAATTCTCCTTATTGGGTTCAATTGCAATTTTAATTTTATCTAAAACCTCTAAAGCCTTAGTTTTTGCTTTATCAAAACCATCTGTTAGAATTCTAGGATGTAGACCTTCAGCAATATATATGTCGCCCTGCTTCAAGAGCTCGCCAATTAATAAAACAGTTGATGTTGTACCATCCCCTAAAACATATTACTATAACAAAAAAATTAATATATAAAATCACTTTACCTGTCATATCATCTTGAGCAGTAGACGCTCTTGCAATAAGGGAAGCAGTAGGATGTTGTATCTGCATTTCATGCAGCAAAATATTACCATCTTTAGTTATTTTTATATCACCAGCACCTGACACTAACCTGGAATATTTTTTTTCATCAAATCTGTAGAAATTATACTATGAAAAAGTTAATAATATTATAGTTTACTACCAAAATAATAATTAACTTGGTTAATAAGATGAAAATACTTAAAATTTATTAATAGGTGCTAAATTCTTTTAACATGTGGCCTTACATTTTCATGGTTCCTTTAGGTCCCAAGTTGGATTTCATGACATCTTGAATACCTTTCGCACCTGAAATATTTACTGCTAATGCTTGCGCAGCTCGAGCTACTTCAGCCTTAGGATTTAATAAACTAATAGCCATTTTTTTAATTCTAAATACGCCGACAAATTATTATTTGCTATGAGAAATTCAAAAGCCGCCTGACTTAAAAAATTACTAGAATTAAAACAAGAATAGACCACAGATTGAATCACGATTGAACAGACTGACGTTTGTCACATTACATGTCACATGTCATTCTGCAATGTTAAATTAGGGATGGCAAAAATACATCGATGTATCGGAAACATCGATATTTGTGTTTCAAATGTTTCTCTTCGATGTATTCTGGACTGTGTCCTGGGCAGGGTTCGGAAGTAGTTAATTAAGACGTAATTTACTTAACTACATGTTATTATTACTTAACTATGTGTCTACATACGACGCTTTTTACGTAAAAATGGTCTCTTGTCAATACCTGTCATCACGCAGCCACACTATCCTAAAAACGGCGTATCGGCGTAACGGCGTAATGACCTTGAATAGATTTCCAGTACTTCTATTGGCTTAAACATTCATCTGTCAGAAATTTTATCTGTCAAATTCATCTGTCAAAAATTTCAGCCAATAGAATTACTGGAAATCGATTCAAGGTCGTTACGCCGTTACGCCGATACGCCGTTTTTAGGATAGTGTGGCTGCACCCTAAAATAAATTAAACATGTTGACTAAATAGAGTATTATTAAACTTAGATCATAAATTTGAAATGTTTTTGTACCAAAAGTTCAACAAAAACTGTTTTATCGGTAAAGGTGTGGATCCGGTGGCTGACCTTGAAGCCCATATTTGCTGCATTTGATCATCAATACTACGCAAGCGCACATCGTCGATGTTGCCAAATTGCAGTTTATTTTCGAATTATTTGCAGTTGAAAAATTTCTTTTTGAGTGTTAATAAATAATACAAATTCTATAATTAATTTCATAATTTCAGATTTATCTTGATATCCAAAATTAAAGTAAGAAGGATAATGAAGATTGTGAAATGAAAGTATAATGAATATATAAAATTGTACTAATGATAATATTTATTATATATATTTACATTTACGGGGATTTTTTCTTAATGGTTTTAAACTTATTATAATTATTTTATTTCTTTCAAGTTATTTAATTTCTAGTTATTTACAGGCAACAATAGTTTTGATTATATGTATTGATGTATTGAAGTACTACCATGACGAGTCTTTATAGAACAATATACACGTCAATGAGATAGAGGTAACATTTTACCTATAATGTTACTAATATAATATACTTTGATTATAATGTTTGTATCATAATTTCTTAAAAATATCAAGTTAGTGGATTAATAGATGGATTAATAGCAATTTTAGACATATATTTTATCGAAGAGTGTGGTGATAAAATAAGTTGAATAAGCCTTATGTTTTATCTTTTTCTCTTTAGAAGGGAGATGGTTTGTGTCGTAGAATACATTACAGTATTTAATATCGTGTAATACTTTGATATTCTTTTCTTAATTTACTGTAATTTCTTGTTTCCTATAATGCCAAATCTTGACAATATGGTGAAGGTTGAGTTTTGATCTTATTAGTTTTATACCTATGTTTATACAAGACCAAATTAAGACTTAGTTAGTTTGTGATTTATATTAAGATCTTTCTTATAATATTTGTCTTAATGTCTTAATCTTAATACTATATTATGCTTTTGTCTGGAAAATAAATGTTAAAATATCTTAATTTTGCATATCCTATTCCATATCCTTCCATTAGGAAAAATATGGTTTATAAATCATATATGCTAAGAAAATCACATAAATTAGGTGTAAGGTAAGAATAGAGAAATCTTAAGGTAGCAGAAAAATTAATGCAATATATGTATAAGCAGCATTAAACGAGGTAACTGTTAATGTTGCTGAAGCTGATCAACAATTTTAATTACGGAGGCTAAAAGCACAGAATATCTAGCTACGCAACAGAAGCCTCGTTACATGTATAAAATTGTAGGTCGCAAAAGGAGACAGGCTTTAAAAGTCTGTCTCCAAATCAGATATTTTGATGTGGTAGTTTCGCTACTACATAATAGAGGGCAATAAATTTAAAAGAATACAGTTTTCTACAAACAAAATTTAAAAGAATTTTGTGCAATGTTGCCATTGTGTAATTCATATCGTAATACTTCCTGATAAAGCCTACCTTCAAATTTGCTGCATCATTTAAACATATTAAAATAGATCAGAGCTGTTTTTTTCAGGTTGCCATGTTAGTTGGAATTAAATCATATGAGCTAAATTACAATTACTTCCTGACGTTTGATTGTATAATTGAACCCTGAATTTTCATTGTAATTCAGCGACAATATAATAAGTATTGTTCTACTATTATGATACCACCTCCTGACGTTCGATTGTGTTCATACCAAGTTCATATTGTATAATCGGGAAAAAACGGCGTTAGCGATAGCTATGAAATGAATATCACTGTCATTTTATATGTAAATTTATATGGGAAATGTCATCGATTGTCCTTTTCCAGCCAACTGGACGCCGTTTTTTTCAGAAGCATATCAAGTGATACCATAATATAGTACTATATTACGATACATGGCGTTCGATTGGGCTTAAACTTGGGATACTACGTATTTTCGGTGACATTGTAAAATGATGGTACTATGATGCATATAAAGTGGTACCTTAATATAGTACCATATTACGATACCATTTCCTGGCGTTCGATTGGGCTCAAACTTGGTATACTACGTATCTTCGGTTACATTGTAATATGATTGAACTATGATGTATATAAAGTGGTACCTTAATATAGTACCATATTACGATACCATTTCATGGCGTTCGATTGTTCTTAAATTTGGTATACTACGGATCTTCGGTGACATTGCAATATTATGGTACCTTAAAGTATATCGAGTGGTACCATAATATAGTACACTATTATGATATCATTTCCTGGAGTTCGATTGGGCCCAAATTTGGTATACTTGCGTTTCTTTATAAAGATCTGTTTATATAATAATTTCAATTTATTTTACGAATTTTAATTTATTGTTCGATGTCGGTGACAGCAACTTTTATGCCGAACTAATATATTATTAATTGTACCTGTGTCACTTTTTAAAATCTACCTAGGTCTATTTTAATAACGTGGCAAACGGAAGAAATTTGTTATTATAGTATTTTTTAGTCAGTTAACATTTTTTGTACTGCATTTTAATAAATTATTTCCATTATTATTAAACTTATATTTAATTACTAACGTTCCAGCATTAATAAATATCACTATCAATCGCCCTGTATATTATTAATTTTAAAGGTAATTAAAGGTATTTTCTTAGTTAAAATTATAAGGTATAGTGTATATTAAAAATGTATATGTTTTGTAATAATATACTTAAAACTATTTTAATAGCCAAAGGAATAATTAATATAAGTGTATCTGACACTAATCCCTCTTCAGGGAAACGGACCAAAGAGAGAGAAAGAAACACATACTGCATTATACACAATAAAAAGAATGGGATGCCAATTCAAGTCTTTTTAAATCTGGCAACTGTGCATATTTAGCCGAGTTTTAAGGCCGTCGACGAGCCGTCGATCCAAAACCGAAAGTTCAAAATTTCTAATTATATTCTGATTATTAAAGTCCCTAGATATATAAAGTACCGCAATTACCGCCATATTGGCGCCAAAACTAGCGGCAAATTTAAAAAGGAGGCCAACATTTCGCTGTTTCGGCTTTTTAAGCAGCTGGTCGGTCCGGCGCCAATATGGCCGACCAACACTGACAGGCAAGCCGTAAAATAAAATATTTATTAATTGTAATAGAATTACGTTTATTATCTACAGTTTACCTTCATTTTAACGTAATATCAGGTGGTATATTAATATTCAATTTCATAAATTTAATTTTTTAGGCCTATATATGTTAAGAGGTTATAAACGAATGGTTTCCGTACAAGTGTTTTTCATTTGTATTAGCATTTATTTTATGTTACCTTTTAGCGCAAAGTACGCCAACAGAAGTAAGTTAATAGGTAAGAAGAAATAAAGTTGGAATAACATTTAGAATTTTAGTACTTAATTCAGTCGAAACAATTGGAAAAACTTTGTTTGTTGATGAGAACGGGATACCTATACCATAAGTAAACTTTCCCTATTATACCAGTTATGCTGTAGTTAGTTTTGACAAATAAGCATGATTTAACGAAAGTCTTTGGAACTATGAATAAGCTACAAACTTAAATTTGAAGGCCGGCTTTTATACGAGAAAATTTTGAACCATGGTTGAAACAAATAAATGTAATAATTAAATTGATATGATACATACCTGCTATTTTTGAAATATATTAATATATTGATAGAAAGATTGTTTCAATTAGTATTACTTCAGGTAGTTTGGCATTTTAGGTATGTAATTGTGCACTTAATTTAAAAATAACTTAGAAAGAAGCTTGAAATGCATAAGAGCTCTTTATGTATGCTGTATAATTAAGGTTTGTTATGGAGTGGTTTTTATACAACAAATTTATTATTAGTTGAATAAAAGCAAGTTAATACCACATAATACAATTAAAATATATTTTACTCTGCAATTTAATGTTATATTTTTAAAACAACAAGTGTCATAATGTTTAAGTATCATTATAATAAAAAAGTTATACTGCTATAAATTTAACATTGAAATAACTGTAATTATTGTTATACATAAATTAAGTAGGCATAATTTTACCTCGACAATATGTAAAACTTCAAATGAATCTTAACAATTTTATGTCATGTATAAAAATGAAATTTAAATCACACACTTTTATTTATAACTGACAATATAAGACCAAATTTTTAAATATAACTTTACATGCTTACATTATATTGTTTACTTTCTATTAGTAATTACAATATGAACCAAAAAATATTAATTACTATCAATAAATACATAAAAACTAATCTATTTAAGTCCATGAAAATAACTATATAGTTAGCATATGCATAAACAACATTCTTGTTATTAGGATCAAATTTATTTGAGCTTTTTTTCATTGTTTTGATTAATATCCCTGTTAGTCCTGACTGGTAAAACCACCTGAAGCGATGTCATCCAAATCTATATATGTATCATAACATAACTTATTCTTTTAAATAATTATCCTTCGTTTGGTCTGATGATAATATATTGTAGATTTATCTAAACTTCTTGCTGCAAAATGTTGAAAACTAAACTACACTAAACATTTTAGGGAATGATTACGTAGAGATTTCACTTACACTTAGCATCCTTTTTAAAAGATATGTATGGTAGTTTGCAAGTAAGGTCTTTGTCTTGTTCTAGATTAGATTTCTAGAGGTTGATTTCGGCCTGACCCACTGCGACCTTCTCAGATCTATTGTGGTCTTGTCTTGTTCTATAATGAAGTTTTATGTACCAGTAGGTTATACTACAAATAAGATTGTTAAAAATATTCACTGGAGCATAAATAAATTCAATCCACTACCTAACGTGTATTGAATATCGAGATGTTAGAAAACACATCAAATTTTTCACATCAAGCGGCCTTTTCGTGTAATACACATTTCTTCACTAAAGATATCGACGCCTATACATTATTAACTAATAAATTTGTAGCATTTTAGTGGCTTTATAACTATTTTAAAATATGTGGATAAATATTTTTATCCTGAAATTGACAGCCTCTCAACATTTGACATGACAAATTCAAACAAATGTGACATTTAAACAGTCCTACCACTACAGTTTTTCCAGAAATACCCCAAAAATCCGCCATTTTGGCGCCAATAACATTGAACAAACCAATTGCGGTACTTTATATATCTAGGGACTTTACTGATTATGATATTGTCGCGCCATCTAGCATTGTATTTGTGCAATTTTTCGCTCTTTCATTTCGAGTATTTTTCTGTTGCGTAGCTAGATATTCTGTGCTAAAAGGCATTTTAAGGCCTCCGTAGTTTTGATGGAATGTTAAAAAAACCTATTATGAACATGACATGGAACTACAGCATATAAAAATTAAAAAAAAAAGAAAAAACTTAGACATGTCCCTTTTAATTTCCCGAATTTTTAATAAAACACTTTTTAAACGTAGCATAATAATCTAGAGCAATTAGATTAAGTATGAGAATCTAGAGTTTTATTTCTATTTAATTTTATTGACTATGAAAATACATAATAAGCGTTCACGTGTTGTGCGAAATATTAAAATAATATAAATAATTATAAATAATATACCGCGTACTATGATTGAAAAAAAAATAGCGTCAGCCGATGACTATGAAATGAAGATCGTTGTCAGTTCGTCATTTCCCAGCCAACTGAACGCCGTTTTTTCGATCATACGGTATATGTTGACAAAAAAAACACTGAAAAGCACATATTTGTTTTCTACTGAAAATAATTCAAAAATAACTTGCAATCTGGCAACATCGAAGATGTGCACATGCGTAGTGTCTGTGACTATATGCAGCAAAAACTCGTTTCAAGGTCAGCCACCGGATCCACACCATTACCGTTTTATCATCATTTTTTGCAGAAAAAATATGATTAATTTAAAAAAATAAAAATCTCCCAAATTTATTATTTCAGTTAAATAACTGTATGTAACTCAACGTGTTTATTTTTCGTCAATAATGGCATGTATTGACTATTTCCATTCTAAATATCTTGAGAACGGTTGCTCGTAGCGATTTTTACAAAGAGATATTTTTTACGTAAAAAATCACAGAGAAGTATATTTTTCCCTCGGTAGTTTTATACAGGTACATACAGTTAAAACACATGTAGGTTGCGCCCTTGTTGCGCCCCCTACCAGTAGGAGTCATATTGACCTCAAAATCCCCCCCCAAATGTCTCATGTCAAAATGCCCAGACACCAATTTTCATCTAAATATTGACGTTACTTCAGAAATTATTTAAAAAAATCGAATTTAAAATGAAATTTCTACACCCTGTATATCCGAAACTAAGCATTTTAGGACATACATTTATACGAACTTTTTTACCTATTTTTATCTGAAGAATATGCTGCCGAAGTTTCCGGAATACAATTCGGAAAAAACTACCCTGTAGAAATTGCTCATCTCAATTTACATACAAATATCACTGTTAGTTAAAAAATGATTATATTAATACAATTTGGACCACCCTGTAGATCTTTGGTATGTACCACATACCAATATACTATGGTACCACATAGTACTATATGATCGAAAAATGAACAGCGTTGAGAAATGAAGTACTCTGTAATTTTTTATGTCAATTCCAATCCAAATCAAAGATCCAAATCAAGGTCGTTTTTTTACTATACCGCGACAAAACCATGGATCAATAAAACCAAACTTTTTAGAAATTACATAAATATATTACATTTTAAAATAATCACTATTTGAATTCACTTCGATATTTAAACAATGCAAATATACAATTTTAATTTTTTAAAGAAAAAATAAATGTTATCAAACACACGAGACTATAAACAAAACAGAGGTTAAAAAAATATCTTATTTATATTTAAAGAAAAAACATTGAGCCCCTCAACTGGGACTCATATTTCCTAAACCAAAAACATTTGCTAATTGCAGAGCTAAGTGACAACATGGTATACCGACAACATATATAACTACAATGTATAAACCTACAACGCTTTAATTTCAGAAAATAGCCACGCTCACTATGTTTTTTTGGACTTTGCTTATATAATTGCAAGTTTTTATGGAATTTAATACCATACAACAGTGGCGGCTCGTGGTTATTATTGGAGGGAGGTCAATATCTAAAAATATTGCGTCGATTTTTTTTAAGACGCGCCCTCGGGCGCGCCCAAATTTAATTGGTTTCTTACAAGGAAAATAAATCTAAAAATAAACACAAATTCTGTTAAAATGAAACCTACCCTTACACTTTTAAACAGGTGGTGTAGTACCATTTCACTAAAAATCCAGTCAATGTTCTTTACACAAATTTTCCATGGTAGGATTTAAAAGACGCTTAAATAATAATGTCCCTAAAATATAAAGGCATATGCATATATACACTACTCAATTCTAAGTTTTATTTCACATTTTTTTTATATTTTAAGTCAATGCGGCGTTCTTTCTGTAAACGTTTTTCGAAATTGTTTTCTTTTAACGGCACTATTTAACAAACTAAACACCATGTTGTCTATTTTAAAAGATCTATTTCAGATTCCAGAATCAGTCAACATTTCATCATTTATTCATAACCCGAAAATTATGAATTATTGCCTACACAAATTTCGCGCTACACGTCAAACACTTCGGCTACGACAAAGTCTACTAAAACGACAAAGCGGGAGACGGGATCTGTTTCAATATTAAAAATTTAAATATTTACTAAATCAAACATTATCCGCGATAAATGGTACTAAAACCTAGGTCGTTTTATAATTTGAGTTTTTATAAACACCCAAACTGCTCAAACGACGAAATATTTCCAGCGATATGACTGAAATCCTTTTATAAATGACGCGGTCAATGGCCAATATAAACTAAATCTATCGCACCTTAACCCATTATATTTTCTATACGTCGTATACCTTACCTTGTTGGCGTCAGGAGCCGCGGCATTTGGAGTTTAATACGTGAAAAACATACAGGGAACGGAGGACAAAATTAAATTTTGATCGGCAGTAGAAAAAATGGGTAAAATAAAAGGTTTTCAAGCGAAAATTGGACAAATTGAAGATTTTTGGAAACAGTTTTGAATATCTTAGGATGAAAAAAGTGGTGATTTAAAAAAAGTATAATTTAAATAGGTTTTTTCTAATTTTCTTCTGATTTTTTTGGGGGGCATTGACCATTTGACCTTATGGTTAAGCCGCCACTGCCATACAGTACGTCTGCTGGATCTGTGTCTATGAAAGGAATGCGGACAAAAAACATTTAAATAAACAGCAATATATTTTATACGTCGACTTGACGAGTACGTCACCGCAAATCGCTCCGCCCACTCATTTTATTGGCTACTTGCAAATTTGTCGAATTTTTATTGATGGGACGCGTCGTCTAATTTTTTACGAAAAACATCGAGAGAATATCGTTTCCCCTCTAACGGATACCCCGTAGCTACAGAACGGACAGACGTACTGTACAATAAAACACATCAGAGTTGGTTTGGCAGTGAAGATCGCTGTCATTTTATATGTAAAATTATGTGGTGAAAGTCATCGATCGGTATTTCCAAGCTGAATCGACGCTTTTTTTTGTTCACACAGTATTTAGCAGAGAGTAGATATAACATTTCAGCTCTATACTTGCTATGTTTATTACCTGCTGACAGTAACTGAAGTTTGAAATCCTCTTTAAACAATACAAAAAATAGATTTACAAATAAAAATCATTATTTTATTGTTGTACGTAG